TCATCTTAAGTCTTTTATCTCCCTTTAGAAATTCTATATATTCATTCCATGAAAGAGTTTATACATTCGCGTCTACATATGAGTTACAAACAAAGTACAACAAACAAACAAACAAAGCAAAAATTTTATAAATTATCTCAGTATCAGTTTTAGCTTTAGATTTGCAGCACAGTAGACCTAGAAATATAGTTGTACTGTACTTCCTTTGTGCAACGAATTGTCACAATTTAACCCTCTTTCTCGCCTTCAAATGTTATGAGTCTGATCAAAGTTGCAGAACAAAAACATCATCACAATGCCTACATAAGTAAAAAAAAAACTTGTTTTTATCAGAGAAGAATAGTTTTCTTGTCACTTTATTTATACCTAGTTATGTAAGTATTTTCTTTAAAGTTTTGTTCAATCGCTCATATTCTAGTACTCTAAATGGATTACAATTTTGAAGTATGAGTATATAAATTAGATAACCAAGAATATGGACCGTGAACTATTAAAAATTGATCGAATACTGGTGTCTAATCTTTCATATAAAGGTTTGGAGAATAATCTTTTGATTTGCAAGTAATGCATTTTCTAAGATATCGGTTTGATATGGTACGTGTAGTCGCCCACGGATCACTTACAAGCTGATGACAATCGTTAATTTATCCCACACAGTCAGAGTAGAAGACATTTAACTTTATAACAATGAAACATTTTACAGAGGACGTTCTCTGTCAGCTCACGATTTAGCAAAGCATTAAACTACCTTAGTAGTCCGTTATTGTTGCGTAGATCCGACCGGTCACACTCGCCAAGTAATCCTGTCATGATCGGGCTAACGGAAAATCTGATTCAGAAGACAATTGAGTGCAAAAACAATGGCATAACAATCTGTATGAAACGCCAGTCAACATTCGAATTAAAGATAGATTGTATTTGTTGATAAGGTCATTGTATGGACCATAGAATGTTGAATTTAAACGATATGGTTGATATTCTTGTTTCATCAGCTTATTTTTCAATAGCTTGCCTCGTATGAAAAATTGTACTTACGTAGAGTGTTCTTTTACGTATCGAGACAACTGAGAGACATATACTCCATATGCCGGTGATAAGGGAATATTGCTACATAATAAGGAAAGTTGACGATAGAAAATGTAAAGTCATCATGTCTATGACCAAGTTTGGTTGATTTGTTACCATTAAGCCTTTACCTGGCGAAATACTCAAAACAAATGTGTTAGACTCTGTGGTATCTTTTATTTCAAATTCAAATGGATATATCCAATCAACGAAGGAATAAAAATTAATATCATTGACAGTCTGCTTAAAACCAGCCCCCCCCCCCTTCTCCTTTCACTCGTCAGGGTCTGACAGGCATCACAAGGAGGTCATCTTCACACGACCTCTACATTTGCATGCGATCAAAAATATCAACCAATCATAAAAGTGCTTTTATCTGTTTTACGAGCGGGTATAACTCTTCAAAATTGGAGGTAAAAAAGAACACAAGAATTGCTACGTGCGGAGATATTGAAAACATTATCGGGTGCGTTCTCTCCAGGTTTAAGGAGGCTGGGGGGTCAACAAATTAACCACAAATTAACCACCAGATTTAACTTAATTTTTTAGATATGATATCTTAAGCTGTCAACTATCATTTGGCAAAGAAAAATTTCAAAAATTTTACTCTTAAAATTTGATCATTTTCTATATCTTCATATGGAGCTCTTCTTCTAAAGGAGATCAATATTGTCTAAAAATGGCCACAACCCCCAAACCTCTTTAATATTAAGGAACTGAAAAAAGAACAGCGTCAGTTATTAGATTATCTTCTTAGAGGCGAAGATTGCGTGGCTGTTTTGCCAAATGGATATGGGAAAAGTAGTATAAGAAGCCTGGATGGGTGGGTCAACTGAGTGCACTTTTTTGTCCCCTGTAGGAGATTGGTGGTTCAACACACACACACCCTGGAAAAACCCATAAGTTGTGTGCAAAAAGGGGGGTACGTTTGATCTACGTTTGTGTGTAAAATCGCTGAGTCAGTAAAACATAGGCAATACAAAAACTTGGCATCGATTCAAATCACAGCTAGGTATGCATTGTGACGTCATGTGTCATTTACACAGAGCAAGCCTCTCTCTATTTTCTGAAAACGGAAAAAACAATAACACAGAAAAACTTTGTAAGATGATTTATTCAAAGTAAAAAAAATGTACATAATTTTTACTTTTTCTTCTGGAGTTTCAGGGGCTGTTTCTTCTCCGTCTGGCTTGTAGTAGTAGTAGCAGCAGGAAGTTTCCTCTTGTTATTAGCCTGAATTTTATCCTGTTGACTGGTCTTATGTTCCTGATGAGTGGTCTTGTTTTCTTGAGCCTTTTTCTCCAGTTTTTCTACTTCTTTGACAAAATCCATACTGTCATCTGTGCACTGATGGGCCCAATGTCCAAAATTTCCACACTTGTAGAATAAGTTAGGTTTTTTTTTTCTGGGACAGTCCGGAGCCCAATGTCCTAACTCTTTACATACAAAACATGGGTCTGTCTGTTTACTTTTCTTGGCAGCTCCTGTGTCTTCATTTTTCTGGTAGGAGTTTCCTCTCATTTTTTCTTCCATTCTAGCGACTTTAACTTCTAATCGGGACAATTTCCCACGTATCAAACAAAATTCACTGGTGTTGTACTCTTTCAATTGAGTCAGCATGTTAACAATGCCATCCAGAGTCGTGGTTAAGATACCCATATCTTCCTTTGTCATGGGTTCTGGCATATTATAAAGTCCCAGATCAAATCCGATCAGATCCTGCGTGTCAGGCATTGTCGGTAGAGCATATCCTAACCCTTCATTGCTAGCTGGAATATAACTACGATTTTCCACGGAATTCATCATCGCCTGTGCCATATTTCTACGTCTCTCAAGTTCAAAGTGCCCACTAAGAATGATCCTAAATTTCCAGCTCTGGTTTATATACCCTTTTGGATTTCGTGTGCAAAAATAGGTTTGACTTACGTTTTGTACCCTCGCGCTTAGTACCCTCTCTCGTTTTACCTACGTTTTGCTGAGTCAGTACATTATGGGTGTACGTACTGTGTACGTCTTGTATAGATACATGTTTTTGGTTTTTTCTAACGGAGAACAGGGGTATAAATAAGAAAACATTTCTTGTCATTTCTTCACAATTGACTATCATGTCAACACATAAACACACTCACTCTTTGGTGTTGGAAGGGTATGATTTTTAAATGCGATGTATAGAGAAAAGCTCTACCCCCGGAGGCGGAACCAGTGTTCCAGAGAGCGACGACCATCATAGAAAACACTCAGGACTTGTGGTTACAATGCCTGGCTTTATTACATCATCCGACAGTGGGGAGACTAGCGATTATACATTTTCTTTGTCAACGGATCAAAAAGACTCTACCAGAAAAAATGTACGGGATGAAAATGAGCGAATATTTAGGAAAACCTTACAGTTTCCTATGTCATCCCGAAGGGAGCAAAGTGTTTTTACTCTGGAAGGAAATAGAAGCGGTAGAGAAAATATGTATCCAATACGGGATGAAATATGTAGAAATTTCAGAAATGCTAAGAAATGTGTAACTTTTGATACCAGCCTCAATGAAATTTATCATTTACCACCCGAAGATCGAAAAAGTCCATGGATGGCTATAGTAGCAGCTCGATTACGATTTCAGAGGAGAATTCGACAGTTTGAACAATTATTAAAGAAAAAAATAAAAAACAAGATTGAACACACAATAAGTCTTTGTTATTATTTCTATACAAATATGACGCCATCTTGTGCCCTTTTTTAGACGCTGAGATTTTATTTTTTTTTTGTTTAGTAAGAAAAAAATCTATTCCCATTTCAATTAAAGTAGATACAAATTGATTTTAAACTAATCCGATTCTGTTTTATCTCAAAATCTTTCAGGATTCCTAAAAAAATCATGCCTATGTGTATAGAATGCTGTGTCTTGTAATAAGACGCTGTGTTTTATCAATATTGTTATTTATAAAACATCTAGACATTCCCACTGGTAATAAAGTGGATTCAGATTGTTTTTCGACTAAACTGATTTTATTTTTTTTTTAAAAATTCCAGTCAGAAAAGGTCACGATTTAAAAAAATCCTATATTCTCTATACAAGTCATTACAGTGATTTTCTAAAAAAATGGCCGACCTTCGCCTTCTTGTGTCTATGTCTAAACAGACTCTGGGTATATTTTTACACTTGAAACCATTCCTTTGATTTAAAAACAGCATCAACACTTTTCCCTAGGTTTAATCTCATTGTATAGATTAAGTTTTCCTTGTATCACACTCTAAAAAGCGTTAAAATACTTATTTACGTATTCAGGTGACCCGATTTTAGCCCTTCGGTTCAACATCAATGCTTCTTTTCTAGACGACAGATAAATGTCATGCATCAAAAATACTGTGAAATCATGCCTGAAACTTACCTTCATCTTATGGCTAAGATGTTTGAAAGTATTTCTAATCCCATAATAAGTTATTCACTCCAATGTATAGATTATGAAGCACAAAATAACACAATTTGACGTCGCCATGATTTTTTTGGCTCTCGCTTCAGGGTGCTCTCTCTTACGATCGCTCTGTGCGCATAAATACCGCAGCTTGCCAGAGCTCGGTGTCATTCTGTTAGTATCAGTTCTGCTGACACCGTATCAGTATGGCTGCTATGGATGAAGATGATATCGGCAACTTTTATCTCATCCCAGGGGTAGAGATCCTGAACGTCTGGATTGTTAGAGACATAGCCACCGGCAGAGAGTTAGCTCGCTGGCCGATAGCTACCCTGGGCCTAGCCAGTGACCTGATAAGGGGGAGAAGACGACGAAGGCGCCATAGAAGAAGAAGAAGAAGATCGCCGTCTACCAGTGATGAAGTTGACCAGCCAAGGAGAAGGAGGAGGACAGAATCACCACCACCAGCTTCCTATTCGGCCCCTCTGAGTAGTCCGGAACTCTGGATAATTCTCTGGATAAGACTTCTTTTAACTGTCCTGTATCCAGGAATAATCAATACTGACTTCTCTCTGTTTGTTGATTTCTAACAGATTATCGAATTCTGCATACACCACACAATTTAAGGTGTTCACCGTATTGTTCGTAAATTGGACTTCTAATCTCAGATTTCCGGTTTTTATGATGTGGAATTTATCCGATTGCGCTTCTTGATCTTTCGTGAAATCCCAACCCCATAAAGTGTATCCGTTTTTATACTCTTCTTGAGTGATGTCCGGGGCCCAATCTTCTCCTAATTTTCCCAGTGCTTGATATAAACTCAGATAAGATCTCAGATATAAATCTTCATTGAAATTAGGTTCGAAACAACGAGTACTCATGGTCTCTCCGTTGATACTGACATCTAATTTCTCAATTCCCAAGTTTTGGAAATGAAAGGGATTTTTAGTTTTATCTCCGTTAAAAGCCGCATTGTCCACAAAGCCTAAAATGATGCGTTTAGGCATCTGGCCTTGAAACAGATGATCCGTGATTTTAGATTGAGTTCCTGTGGGTATAGTAAAGGTTTTCACTTCGACTCTTCTCAATGGATATTTAGCTCTGTGAGTGTTCAAACCTTGATTAATACCATTCATCATGACTGCCGTGGGTTTGACTCTTCTTACCCTCAAGATCATGCTCAATATTTTGACTTTTCCCGTACTTCCTGCTTTGATCATCACATAGAACTGAGGTTTAGCTCGATTAAATCTCAAACGGACATCTACTCCATTGGGTAGAAATCTGTCTTGTTGAAATAAATCCAGATGTAAACGATCATACAAGGTTATTTTCTTACTATCATTAATAGCCTGGTGACGTTTTCTAAATCCTTCGTTTTTAGAATTGGCCGGTAACTCTGGGATGATAGGTTTATCAATGGTCACAGTATCAGCAGCACCATGTGCACCTGGGGTTACATCAAATGTCTTATTTTGAGCCACTCCAAGGTCTGCTACCCCTACTTCGTCCATGTGTCCTGCTGTATCTTTTTCCCACAGACTACAAGCTCTCATCTGTGTCATAAAAGTTCTGGGTTTGTAAGAAAGTTATTTCTCCAGATAAGCTTTGTAAGGATAAGTATCGGTTCCAGGAGTCACTATTTTCCCATTGACACTGAGATCGATTTCCGTAAACAAGGAATGGAAGATATTATTCACCGGGGAGCAAGTACTGCCAGCTCCAGTCAGATTAGTACCATCATCTTTGGTAAATTTACACACTATTTGAACATACTTTTGAGATAAATCCAGATATTGATCTCCTTGTCCATTAATTTCAAATTCAATGGGAGCCGTATCCGAATCTAAAGTACTGGAAATGGGGTAATATTCTTCCCATTTGGAGTCTTCTAAAGCAATATTAGTCGGGGGGACTTGGAACAATTCTAAATTGTTCATCCCACACGCACAGGAATCTGGTTGCAACATGATGTGTCTACTAAGATTGATTTTTCACAAATGAAGGTCAATATCACTCGACTCCCCTATTTATAGTGTCAATCAAAGATATCTTAACCCCATTTTTTCGTCTTGGGAATATTGCCTCCTTGATTTTTTCTTTTTCTTTTAGGACCTCCTCGGGCTAACACAGGTGTCTTTTTTCTTTTTTTCTTACTACCTCCTAGATTCATTCTTTGTTTCAGGGCTTGTACTCCGTGAGTTTTGACAGCGTCTTTTAAAGATCTCCTATTTTATAACACATCTAACCCCGTTCTAACAGCAGCAGTCAAGGCATGTTTAGCTCCCGTTTTCAGTAAATCTCTAAAAAATCCTCTGCCTCTCTGCCGTCTTCTTCTTTTTCTTCTCCCTTTACCTTTTTGACCTTTCTTATTCATCTTTTTAAAGGCTAAACTTCCTCCTCTATTGAGAGCAAATAAGCCTGTATTTTTAACGGCATTGAGGCCATGAGTTAAAAGAGCATTTTTGATATTTCTCTTTTTTAAAATCATATCCGCTCCTATTTTAGCTCCGGCAATCAAGGCTTGATTACAACCCATTTTGACTAGATCTTTAAGAAATCCTCGACCTCTTTGTCGCCGACCTGAGCCTAATTGGACAACTTCTTTTAAAGTCATCCATATAGGTAAGTTCGGTACAAGTCCCGAAATGAAGTCTATAAAATTTCCTCCTCTTTGAGATTTTAAATGCTGGGATAATAGCCTAGTTGAGGGTGGAAGCAAACTGGGTGGAACAAGAGATAGTAATGGAAATCCAATAGAATTAGGAGTAAGGGCTCCAACCAATCCAGATATAATTCCACCTACACCGTGTCCTTTTTGACGTAATAAACCTCTATGATAGAAAAACTGTCCGTGTCCTCTTTGTCTCAATAATCCGGGATGATACTGCATGTTTCATGACTCGTGTCAGACTGATCTAAATGCACTCAAGTGACTCCTTTTTATACCCCCCTGTCTGACAGACAGCATACCAGACAAGTCATCACTCCCAATAGGATGTAACAAAAAAGCTGTACACTCATCTCAGTACACTTTTCTGAAATGAAGTTTCACGACTGATTTTCCATTTAAAAAAGGCATGGGAGTCCCTAAAGGAGTCATGATATGAATCTCAATGCTATCGAAATGTTTTTTACTCAGTTTCAAATATTCCGCTCTAACGGGTTCCCATTTAGCTTGTTTTTTATCTTCCAGATTGAGTGTACAAGGAACCATTCTTAATAATTTCAAGGCATTGGATCCTACCGTCTGGGGTTCAATTAAGTCACAATACACGTACATGGATTTCAGATTTTCATATAAATCTACGGTATTGTTGCCCATGTAACTAACGTTGATCCATTTGGTCATGTTTTCTGTATCGTTCTGAAGAATCACCTTTTTACTTTCTATTCCTAGCTTATAAGCTAAGGCTATGGGGAAACGAATGCAAAAGGGATATTTTTTAAGTTCTCTCCCGATAAGCTGATACATCACTTTATCATATTTGTTATGATATGTTAATTTCATGGCATTCTCTTTTTTAGAATCACCCAAAAACTTCCATAATTTTTTCAAACTTCTTTCCAGTCCAAGACTGATTTCACCTGTTAAAGCCATGGGATGAATGTAAGGCCCCGGTCTAAAGTGAATTCTCCTAATTTCCTTCTTCTGGTCTGTCTTTATGAGATTAGCAAATTCAGTATGGGCCCAATCTAACAGTACAGGACATTGGCTTAATGGCATCGCATCTATGGTTTTCATTTTAAATCAGTGATTCCTTATAGATCCGAAGAGAAAGAAGACGAAGTGTAATATGTCAAATAAAAAAATTAAAAAACAAAAAATTGTTGTTATAAATAGAAGGGTCATAAATTATTTTGTCTCAGTATCTCACTGAACATGGCCGAGAGCAGTAGTTTTTACATGACTTTATCCAGTGATGGGTCCATGCAATCTTTTCCGAGTAATACGACTGCTCAATTTAAAGCCTTATTACCACAAACAGTAGATTTAACAGATGGACAATGGGAAGTGGCTTTAACAGAATTGATGTATCCCATTTCATTGAAAAACATCACAGAAGAGGAAGCTTATTTTGACATCCTGCTTCCTCCGTTTTATGCTCCTAAAGTCCAAGAACCTAATGTTTAAAAACATTAGGTTCTTGGACTTTAGGAGCATAAAACGGAGGAAGCAGGATGTCAAAATAAGCTTCCTCTTCTGTGATGTTTTTCAATGAAATGGGATACATCAATTCTGTTAAAGCCACTTCCCATTGTCCATCTGTTAAATCTACTGTTTGTGGTAATAAGGCTTTAAATTGAGCAGTCGTATTACTCGGAAAAGATTGCATGGACCCATCACTGGATAAAGTCATGTAAAAACTACTGCTCTCGGCCATGTTCAGTGAGATACTGAGACAAAATAATTTATGACCCTTCTATTTATAACAACAATTTTTTGTTTTTTAATTTTTTTATTTGACATATTACACTTCGTCTTCTTTCTCTTCGGATCTATAAGGAATCACTGTCTCAAAACACTGGTTCTCTTCGTTTTCCAAGCTATCTTTAATCTGGGAAAAAGGAATACGACAATACAGGTACTCTGTAGGACAGTAATAGCTAGGAATCCTCAGTCCATCTTTTTGCTGGTTCCAGAACAAATCACGAAGACAGTGTTCCATATTCCAGCACCATTCACCTTCAGCCAGAACCACACGAGTCTGGAATTTACAACGACCTAGGATCAACCATTTGTACTGCTGATAATGATGGCATATTTTTACCCTCACCTTAGATCCTTTAGGATGCAAGAATTTCTGTCTTTTTTCTAACCACACATCTTGAGTAGATGTTCCTGGATGATTTTCAAAATAATCTAGGATTGCTCCTATTTTAGTTTTCATCCAGGGTCCCTGCATGTAAATACATCCAAATAAACTCTCACAATACCAACGATACTGCATATTTTTTGCGCCTGACTTTTAGACTTGACTTTTTCAGAATGAATAATTTTTTTTGTCATACCTCTTTATATAACCTTATCAAATCTATTTTTAGTATCTCAGGAAAAAAAACCCAACAACATTTTTTGATTTTATGATTTATTTCCTTCATATCTACATAATGGACAAAGTCTGTAGCAAGTCTTGACGAAGTTCTCGACACATTCCCCACAGCAAGGATACTGTCGGCATTGTTGACACTTCCATCTCCCCTCCGTATTTTCCTGCCAGCAGGTCAGGCATTTCTTTAAGGCTCTCTTTCTCGTTACTTTGACCCATAGGGGCACCATATTCTCTGCCCCGTACTTCCATGTGAAATATTTCACACAACAACTACATCCATAGGTCTCCATAGAAGGGGGATCATCCACAAACCAGTGAGGAAAAGGCATTTCACAATGCTCGCAAATTTGATAAGTTCTGTGATGCCATCCGGGATAATCATACACCATAAATGTACGCACATGGATCATCTCCCTATCACAGTAATGACAGTAATACTTTTCTACGTCAATCAAATACAACATTCTCCACGTAAAAAACATGATTGAGCGCAGTGTACTCAAAGCTAAGCTTTATATACCTTATATATAGGGTGGTGTGCAAAAATGTGTTTTACCTACATTTTTATTGAGACAGTAGTGTGTACGTTTTATTTACGTTTTGCTGAGTCAGTCAATACACAGGTAATACACAATCTTGGCAGAGATTCAAGTCAGTCAAGCTACCCATTGTGACGTCATTGTAACAAAATGTTATACACAGCTGAAGAGAGAGAGAGAGAGAAAAAATGACATTTTTTTCCCTAGGGTTTTTATTTTTAATTCACAACAACATTAAAGTAACAAACATGGAATACTTTGGCATAGTTCTTTTTGAATAGGAAAAGTTCTCCTCATGTACAAATATTCTGTTTCACAAGCACAGTCCATGATGTCGTATCCTTCTTTGAGCACTTTGTTTACATAATCTTTGATACAATCTCGGACTTCTTCCATCCATTTCCCTTGAATCCAGGTCCTTGCTGGTCCCTCTCTTTTGTGAGCCAAAACGTATTTTACTTTCAATTGAAATTCCTGATACTGTGGTTGCCATGGCCCTATTAATACTATAATAAGTTGTCCACATTCATGGTCCGGTAATTTGATTCTCTTATACAGGTACACATCATTGACTCCTGTTTCTCCCGGATTCTTATCCATGAAATCTTGGATACATTCATCTTTGTTTTTCATCCATTCTCCTTTTTTAGTGGAACCTGTATGCTCTTGCATTTTCCAACGATACTCTGCGCTTAAAAAATCCATGTTGCTCTGTCCTCAGTCAGATCAGAAATGAAAAAAAATCTTTGTTGTTTCCCCATTTTATATACTCTGTGGTGTATCTATTTTTTTTAGACATTAACCCTGTGCATTCGTGGTCTTCTTAGGTGTAGGTGTATGATGGATCATCGTAGGACTAGGCATGATATAACCCACTGAAGAACTGACACATACCATCCAATATTCTCGATTAGGATCATCTAAAGCTAACATGACCACACTTGTGACGATGAGAGATACACA